CTCTCTCCCCAGCTGCTGTCCCCTAGCAATGTGGCTGTGTACGGGGGTCTCTGTGCCCTTGCGACCTTCGACCGGCAGGAGCTGCAGCGGAACGTCATCTCCAGCAGGTCGGTGATGCCGTCAGAGCAGTCTGCCTCTCTGGGGCGCGGGGCCGTGCCTGGGTGCGGGCTCCGGCCGGAGCAGAAGCTTCTCTCCTGCGGGAGAGGGAATCACCGAGGCTTCGTTCGGCTTCAGCGTTCGGTGACGTTTCGCTCTTTAAACCCGGCGCTTGAGCTTTGTGTCGCGCAGGGGACGTTTCCTAAAGCCAGCCCTGCTGGCAGCACGCTGCCTGCCCTGGCAGGGAGGGAGGTCTCGGGGTCTTCGCGTGGTCGTGGGCGCCTGTGACCTCGCAGCGGGGTCGTGCGGGCTGTAAGTGGCGGGTTCCGATGTCTGATCGCTGCCGTCTCCATCTGTAGCTCCTTCAAATTGTTCTTGGAGCTGGAGCCGCAGGTTCGTGACATCATCTTCAAGTTCTACGAGTCCAAGTACGCGTCGTGCCTGAAGATGCTGGACGAGATGAAGGTGAGCTGCAGGGGAGCGGTGCAGGACGGGCCCTGGGGGTTCCCTTTGCCTAAACTTCTGTGAGGAGCAGCGATGGGTGCCGGCCCTCCGTCCCCTGACGTGGTGAATGGGAGCTGGCGTTCAGCAGTGGGGGTGAGGGGAGACGGTAACCCCTCAGCGGCTCCCCCGCTCACTCTTGTTCTGCGGTGCTCTGCAGAGCGTGAGCGCCCTGAGGTTTCAGCACGTACACAGCCTGGGAACGATGGGTTTTTCCAGGCTGCTGCTCAGCTCCTGATGTGCTTTTTTTTTGCCCAGGACAACCTGCTGCTGGACATGTACCTGGCACCTCACGTCAGGACACTCTACACTCAGATTCGAAATCGAGCCCTTATCCAGGTAACCTTATCCAGGTCACGAGTCAGCAATCCCAGGGGGTGGGTGAGCAGCTCGGTGGGCTGGCTCTTTGGCATTCCCGGGGTTCTTCCTGTGTGTGGGGTGCAGGTAGCAACTGAACGTTTCCTTCTGCCCAGTACTTCAGCCCCTATGTGTCGGCGGACATGCGCAAGATGGCCACGGCCTTCAACACCACGGTGGCTGCTCTGGAGGACGAGCTCACGCAGCTCATCCTGGAGGGCCTGATCAACGCCCGGATAGACTCGCACAGCAAGGTGAGCGCCCTGAGCCGCGGCCCGCGGAAACTCCGCGTTCCTGGGGCGCCGGCGCTGCGTCGGTTCTGCCTGGCGTTCCCAGTGTTCCCAGCGTTCCCAGACAGACCCCGCGAAGGGGCTTCCTGCTGCGGGGCCCCGGCGTGGCGCCCGCCTGCAGGTCGCTGTGTTGGTTACAGATTCTTTACGCTCGCGACGTCGATCAGCGCAGCACGACCTTTGAGAAGTCGTTACTGATGGGCAAAGAGTTCCAGCGTCGCGCCAAAGCCATGATCCTGCGAGCTGCCGTCCTGCGCAACCAGATACACGTCAAGGTACGGGCTGAGGCCGCGCTTGGCGGGTGGAACTGGAACGGTAGAAGGTGGGGAGGTGAAGATTCTGGAGGGGAGTGGATTTACCGTGCTCGTGGCTGGACACATTCTCACAGGGGTAAACACCGAATGCGTCAGGAGCAGGCGTTTCTGGCCAAGCCACTGTCCTGCTTGTACCAGAGTGCTGTGCAGTCCCTGTGCCTGGGTCGGTTCTAATGAATCCCTTCCGATTCCTGGTCCACATCCTTCATCCTACCAAAACAAAGACTGTTTGAAGTAATTTTTAGCAGTGGAAGTACAATATGCACAAATTGCTTGGAGTGTTCCTTCCAGGATGCAGTTCCATAAGAATCCGCCCTTAGGGAGGGTTGGCCCCACAACACGTTAAACCCCACAGCACGCTGACCTCTGTGATCGCTAAGCACCAGACAGGGTTCAGCTTTGGGGCCAGCAGCACCCTGTAGGTGTTGAACTAGAGTGGCTAAAAGGTTCTGGCGCTGTTTTCAGGCGCGGTTCTTGTGAGCCGGGGCTGTGGGAGCTGTGATTCCGTAGAGCCGTCGTTACCGCTGGGCTGGGGGTGCGCTGCCCCCCCGGCTGTCAGCCTGCTGAGCCTCGCCCGGGCCCCCTTTGGTCCAGGGAAGCGCTCTGCGGCGTGTTCACCCATCGCTAACTGCACGTGTCTTGATCTCGTTGCAGTCTCCTCCGAGGGAAGGCAGCCAAGGGGAGCTGACGCCGGCGAACAGCCAGTCCAGGATGAGCACCAACATGTGAAACCTCGCACGCTGCCGAAAGAAACGGCCCCCCCAGGGAGCCAGCGTGGCACCCAGTAACTGCTGAGCTTCCCGGGCTGTCCCCGTCTCCCACCTTGGATTGAGAGGGTCAGGGCTGATGGTGGGTAACACGAATATTCCAATAACTTCAGTTGTCCTGGAGAAGATTCTTGGTAGACAGGGGATCCCTGCGGCGGGTCATCATTTCGGCTTTGGCAGAACACCCCCCTGACCCCCCCTCCACCGCTCCACGGAGAGCTGGCGGGTTCTTCACACAGATGCCGACCTGCGCTTTCCGGCTGCTCTCGGTGTCCTTGTTCCCCAGCTGCACAAACGGTTGGGGTTAAGCGGATGCACGGGTGTGATCTGAGCTTCGCTGGCCCGGAAGCGGGGCCCCGCTGGGCAGCGCAGCGCTTGGGGTTCGCTCGCGTGCGGGCGCGCTGCTCTTGAGTTCTGACGGGGGTTGCCCTTGAGAAACTCCAGCGGTTTTTCACCTGCGCCGGGGCGCGTGGTTCCTTGGCTCACAGGCCTTTCCTTCGGCTGGTGTTTGCCCGGGTCCAGGGTCTCTCTGGGTCTGGTTTCAAAGACCGTTTCCTGGCGTTT